AAAGGTACTCACCTGAATTGTGGGGGTGAAGGAGTCTGTACACTCTGCCAGAAATCTGAACTTCCCTTTGGAATTGCCCCAAGTGTTTGTCCTGCTTCTCCTCTAGTTAGTCAGCTAAATTCCATCTGTCAGGCTTCTCAACACAGGTGGATGTTTTAGATGCAGGAAAGACAGTGATGTATCATATCTTGTCTCACGCTAGCTGGTTGGTAATGATATCTCATTAAGTCAGAGGCAGTAGTCATGGGGAGAATTGCCAAATATTCCAAAGGAAATGATATACTCCATTGAGGAAGGAAGGAAGGAAGGAAACAAACAAACAGCTCAACAGAACCTGTGAGACTTTAAAAATAAAGCTCATTTATTGTAGTATGAGTTTTGGAAGATATCACGCTGCCTTATGCTGAATCACATCTTCTAGCTCAGTACTGTCAACGGTGATTGGCAGCAGAGGCAGAAACCTCTATCAGTCCTATCTAAAGGGGTTGCAGAGTGAGTTTGGGCCCTGTTGCATGGAAGGCAGATACTCTACTACTGAGCGATTGCCCTCACCCTCAGAAAATAAGTGCCTACAGTGGTTATGTCTCTGAAGTTGTGGCGAATTGCATAAGATGATCCAGCTCTTTTTGGTTTTTCTCATTAAAAATTACAGCTATCCAAGACGTTCAATTCAAAGGCAAAATGGTGCTTCAGAGCGTGCGTGTAGCATCTCTCTGCAGCTTGCTAAACCAAACACATCTTTTCTTGGGATACTGCTGCAGCTGAGCAGGACAGCTGCACAAACCTGGAAAAAGACCCAGCTGTTTTTAGGACTTGCAAACAGGTGTTGTGGAACCTCTGTGTACTACAAAGCAGGGGTTTTTTTGCCTTTGAATCTTATTGCACCACACATTATATTTATCATGGGGCTTTGTGGCACTAAAAAATTAATATCATCCTCAGATAGGAAAATCCCTAAATTCAAAATGAATTCCTACAAACTGTCTTCAGGTGTGCCCACTCTATTAGTTCTATTAACTGAGAGTCAGTTTGGTGTAGTGATGCTGGACTAGAAACTGGGAGATGAGTAAATTCTACACTTCCCATAGGCACGGAAGCCAGCTGGGAAAATAAAGGTGGGATATAAATCTAGTAAATAATTTTTTTTCAGCCATTTTGTCTGAGATTGGAATTTAATGTGATGATGGAGTTGATTCACTTGAGAGCCATTCTGGTGTATTGGCTAAAGGGCTGGGCTAGGAGTAGGGAGAGCCAGGTTCTAGTCCTCCCTTAGGTACTGAAACCAGCTAGGTGACCTTGGGCCACTGGCTCCCTCTTAGCCCTGTTCAACAAAAACCCTAATCTGAGACAAGCAGGTTGTAAACAAAACCCTCATCACATCATGCCTTGACAGCTTCACTGTGAGACCTAGGCATGTGCAATGCAAAACAAATAGGACAAATGCTAAGAAGAGGAACAACAACAACATAGAGTTGATTCACTTGTTCAATTTTTAGCCT